GCGCTGCGCATGGTTACGGTAGCGATAATGGCGCATAAGTGCCATTTGCAAAAAATTCATGCCTTCTGGAAGCTTAGGTCTTTAAAGTGTGAAAGTAGTTACGATATATTTTTCGAGAGGACCCCGGATTGCTGTATCGAGGCCTTCGGTTGCGTTATGGCGGGAAACAGTTCAATCGCGATGGATTGATAAAATAACCAAAACTATAATTCAAAAATTCTAACGTGCTTACCGACAACAGCATAAAGACCCGGATAAATTTGTGGACCGTCGAGGCCTCGGAATCCTTCTGGCCACCACATAATTAAGATCTAAAATGCAAAAAACTTTATATCATGTCATTGTCAGACTGTATTCTGGCAACTGACCTCTCCAATCATTCGACCCCCACATGCGCCAATCACGAAACAAGGAACGAATATACCTGCTGGTAAGTATAGGCCCACACAAATGGCTACCAAAACATACTGAAAAGGTAGTATAAGATATGATTTGAAAAAGTTGAGAACAAAGCTTACATAGACGGCGAAATAGCAGAAAAGAGTCAAAAGCGGGTGGAATTCCCCGGAAGTCCCGCCGGTCCAATGAGCGATCATCTCGGGTGGACATCCATGTGAGCTGACGTTGGCCAGTGTGAATGAGCAGTTAGCCAAGAAATCAGCTAGGGTTTCACGGAATGTGAACTGAAGTTGTGTCAAACAATTTTTGGAGAGCATCAATGGACGAAACGCTTACCTGTCCAGCGATATATCTACCGAAACCTTCTGGGTATGTGAGAATGGCAACACACATAGCAAACAGTGATGTGAAAGCAATGGGGCTGGAAAAATTTTTTATAACATATCAAAAATAGCAAAAATCACTTCTATATAATTCTACTGACATTGCCACAAGTATCCCCCTCCCTCCCTCCCCAAAAACTATAATATTGATTCTCCCCTCATTGTGGATGTTTCAATTTATTTCCTGATTCTAAATTAAGCTTAGAATTTTTGTTTCAATTGGCAAATGGACTGATAATTATAATCGCAGTCTCAAATGCATATCTGTGAAAGGTGGTCAAAAAACGTTTGAACATCGCTGTTAAAGAAACCATTTTTCATTTTTGACAAAGATTCATAGAGTGATTAATAATCCCAAGTTTTGGGGCACTTCATTCATCATCAATTGATGACGACTGGAGACTATACGGAACTACACTGTGTGATATAGTTGACTGATTTACAGGAAGTTCTGCCTTGTTTCAGTCCATATTTCAGAGAAAAAGAGAGAAAATTTGGAAATTTCCCTTTTCAGAAGAATGGATACGTTATAAAACGGCCCACGTTTAGTATGGATGTACATACATCATTGTCACGATGATCCCGATAAATCTTTTTCGAGTTCATCGCTCGCGTTTTTTTTCTGACGCTATTGTTTTTCAGCAGCAAATAGTTTTTTTTTT